CTCCTCGGAGCCCTGGCAGGGCCTGCTGGGCGAGGCTCTTGCCAAAAGTACGTAACGCAGAGAGGTTTGCCGAGTTTCTCCTCTCCCTCGGGGCTGGGGAGGCCCGTGGGTCTCAGGCTGCCCTTCCGGGTGCGGGCCCCTGAGGGCCTTTCCCCCCCAGGCTGCTCCATCTTCAGAGACACCATCCTGGCGTCACCGCCCCCGGGCACTCACAGGAGGCCCCACGTCGCAATGCACTGAGAAAGGGCAAAAGCCGAAACCCAGCGCGGCCCAGGCGGGTTATTTTCTGCTAGTTGTTCACTTCCGCCTTTGAGAGCCACAGGGAACGTGGCGATGATAAAGGTAAGTCTGTGTTCGCTGCAGACTGCCTTGTGGGAAGAAGAATTTGAAGTCTCACTGTTGGAAAGTACCTCAGAAATTTAGGATGATAACGGATGCTTTGTGTAAGATGGACTCTTGTCTATATATACAACCTAAAATTGCAGTCAGGGACTGGTGCCACAGCCAGCCCTGAGCAAGGACGTCCTGCAGTAAGTAGACCTTGAAGAAGGCAATTAATCAAGAGGTTTAAAGAGTGTCTCGTGTAAATCACCAACTTGGCAGAAGAGATTTGAGGCATATATAGATAATTGGACCTAAGTAATGCAGGAGGTGATAAAGAAGAACGAAAATCAAGAAGACTGATGGCTAAACCAGTCTTGGGCAGTTGGAGCTGTAGAAGTTGCAATATTGTGTCCTTTAGGTGAACTTAGCTCATTATGTCATTGTAATACTAAAAATCACACTTCCAGATCAAAAAGACCCCTGCCCAGATGAAGACCCTCCCCCTGAGCATGCATGATAGCAGAAAAAGTGATGTAACTGTATGTACATTGCTAACCAATCACTGTGAAGAGGATGGACTTGGAAACTTACTAACTGTATAGTTTTGTGTATAAATACGTCATGAAAAATCTTGTTTGGTGTGCTTGATTTGTGGGAAGGCACCAAGCACTCAGCTTTGTACAAACCTGCAATAAATAGGAATGTCTACTTCCTAAAGGTAGTCTCTGTCTGCATTTCAGGAGCTAGCTTACAGCAGTAACATTGCCTTCACAGTACTGATATGCCTAAGAAAATGTAGCCATGCTTTCAAACGCTGCTTCAGGGGTTGAAAAAGAGGATGGCTTTTAACATAGGGAGCAAGAAAAACCTAAAGTTACCTTTTGTTGGCTTTTCACTCAGTCAAATTAAAGAAAAAAGTAAGGTGAACCATTGACTACATCCTTTTAAACATCTACCATTTTCGTACTGATGCCACATAGTATTTTGAATATGCTTTTTCTACACTATATCATCAGAGGAGGGCTACTCTACACAAGTTAATATCTGTAGAAGGGTTGAATTGTTGTCCTCGTTGGACACCAAAAGGCACACAGGCCCCAAATAGGTGGGTAGGTTATGGACCTTTTGTAAACAATTGTTTTCTTCTAAGTGTCCAAAATTATGTGTTCCACCAGAGGTCTCCTCTGGGACACACTGGGATGTTATCCTTCAAATGATAATTACTGTGTTTACCAAACTACAGTTATCTAATGTTTAGCATGAACAGTTTTAAGTCCCAGATCACTGTCTATCCTTTATACTCGTTTAAAAGTTTTTCACATTAAGAGTTTAGGATGCTAGAAATTTTTGCAAACTTCTCTTCAATTGATGTACTGAAATCCCTTCCTCTTAATGCTGGCATTTGTTTTTAGCACTGAGTGTCCAGAAGAGCAGACTATCCACCATGTACAGAAAAATA